TGCCTGCAGTTCTTAATATAGATGTTTTATATCCTTGTAGTATCTTTGCCTAGCTATTTATGACACATTGAAAACCTTGTTTGAGCAGCGCGGATCAGTATGGAAGTAGATTTATTCAACAGAAACTTGAAACAGCAACTACAGAAGAGAAGAATATGGTCTTCCATGAGATTATGCCGCAAGCACTTTCGCTGATGACTGATGTTTTTGGGAATTATGTGATCCAGAAGGTGAAGTTGCATTTATTTTTTTTGCGATCAACTGTGTAATTGCAAGTTGGCACACATTCAGCTGCCTGCAAGCACTACTTGAATAAAGATTGTTGTACAAATCTTATCATTGTCTTATGGTTATATTCTTGCTTTTCACATTCTTCTATCTTTTCTTCCAGTTTTTTGAACATGGAAGTCCAGCACAGATTAGAGAACTGGCTGACCAGCTTAATGGCCATGTTTTGGCACTTAGCCTTCAAATGTATGGCTGCCGAGTGATCCAGAAGGTATCCAATTTCTGCTGATTCTTGCTTATTACTAACATGTTAGCATGTTTTTATTCCATTTATGAAAATGTTGAGTCCCTGCAAAAACTAGTCTGAGTAGATGTCGTTTCTGCTCACCAGAGCTTCGTGATTTAAAATTTAATACCAACTAGTGCTCTAAAACGTATATCTGCACTTGTGTAACACCAGTGTTCAAGTGATTCATTATGCCATAAGACAAATTATTTTAAATGCTTTACTAAGTTCTTATGCTGATGTACTAAAGATTTTCAAAACATTGTGTTGGACTATGTATAGGTCTGATGCTCGCGTTAGAAAATACAATCCTTTTTTCCAGTGTTCTTGTCCTGTTTCTTTTTTCCCCTTCTTTCCACCCCTCCCCTTCTTTCCACCCCTCCCTTGTACATCGCTTATTCAGATGGGGCTCTAGTTTTTAACATCTTATGATCTCTGTGGACATATTGGGTCTTTAAGACTTCTTTGTTTGTCCAGGCGATAGAGGTTGTCGATCTAGATCAACAAACAAAAATGGTTGCAGAGCTCGATGGCCATGTTATGCGCTGTGTACGCGATCAGAATGGCAATCATGTAATTCAGAAATGTATTGAATGTATTCCTGAAGACGCCATTCAATTCATTGTTTCAGTTTTCTATGATCAAGTTGTGACATTATCAACTCATCCATATGGTTGTCGGGTTATACAGGTTTCTAACTAGCTACGTTTAATCCTGCAGACACAGAATTCACGGTTTGGTTTCTCTTATATTAAATGCGAATTATTGATTCTGTTCTAAAATAGTGATGGTTTATGTGACAGCGAGTACTTGAGCATTGCTGTGATGCAAAGACACAAAGCATAGTAATGGATGAAATTCTGCAATCTGTTTGCATGCTAGCACAAGATCAATACGGGAATTATGTTGTTCAGGTTTTGCTCTTTACTTAGATAAATAGCTTCTGATATTGTATTTGGATGTTAGTTCTAAAAATAAAATTTTCATGATAGGTGCCACTTACCATGGGCTCCTGTAAACTTCCAATTTTAGTGTACATGTTTAGTTTGATCATGACTTCTCCATATGAGATGAATAATCTGCTTTATAGAGGACAAGTTTGTAACTCAATATACTTTCCAATCTATCAGCTTATGGTCATGCAGCAACTCTCCAGGAAAATGATGTAAGAGTAACCATAATTGATGGCATTTGAATAAATAATTGATTTGTCAGGAAGTTTCCAAATATTCCAATCTGTAAAGTCCCATTATGTTGTCAAACATACTGTAATCATGGCCACTGCTGCAGTTGAGTCTTCTAGTCGTTAGTGCTGTTACATGGACAAAGATAATGAGTTTGTTTGGACAAAGAAAGTTTGCAAGATTTATTTCAGATTTTGTTTTGCTTACATCACACACAATTCCCAATCACCTTTTTATCTCACATACATCACATCACAAAAAATGCTACAGTAACTGGATCAAATAAATCATCCAAATAAATTCTTATCCAAACAAACTCAATGCTACTTCACGGGATTAATTGATACAATTCTCATGTGTATTAGTGTTTATTGGTAATACAGCTATATGAATGCACACAGAACATGCTTGTATGCATGCACATTCTTTTTGGGGTGTATTTATCTGTTTGGACCTCCAAAGTGCTATATGAGCCTCTGAGGAGACTTTCTGTCATTCCCCAGGCATTCTCAAGTTTCTCCTACTTGTCCCCCATTTGTCTGTATGTGTGTATGATCTTTGTCTTTCTTAAGTCTCTTTTAACATTGTGTGTTCTGACAGCATGTACTAGAGCATGGAAAGCCCGAAGAGCGTACTTCTATAATTACTAAATTAATTGGACAGATAGTCCAGATGAGCCAGCAAAAGTTTGCCTCAAATGTCGTGGAGAAGTGCTTAACTTTTGGAACTGCTGAGGAACGCCAGACCTTAGTGAATGAGATGCTTGGTTCAACTGATGAGAATGAGCCCCTTCAGGTTGGTTATTTTTCACGTGCTTTCTCCAAGAGACTTTGATGGTTTTGGTCAAGCTTGATTTGATACATTCTCTCATTTGTACTTTTTTTTTGGTGTTGGGGGGGGGTGCTAGTTGTTATCATGTGTTCAAGCTCTGTAGCAACCAACACTTACTTTCAACTTATTCTCAAGTTTACCTTTATATGTTTCTTGCTCAGTTTGGTTTAAATTTCTTTATCTGCTTTTGGGTTTTAAATGATTCTCATTCTAATGTAGGTATTCCAGTCCATAAATGGTCAGATATTCTTTAAGATGCAATTTTCTGCCTTAATAGTTATTAATCGTCTCAATTGTCACAAATTTGTGCACAAACAATGGCAATATATGCTTATTGTTTGGGAATCATTCTATGATATCATTATGGTTAAGAGTTAAGATATAGGTGTGCTGACAGTTTACTTTTTTCTTAAAAGAAATTGTTGTGAAACTACGAAAGGGAATGAGAACAGCTGAGGAGGATATCTACTTCCAGGTCCCATTCATGTATTCTGTTGTTTGGAAGAAAGTCGTCTTTTTTTATTTATTTATTTAAATTTTTAGATAGGTTGAGTTCATTAACCTTGTTTGATGCAGTGGACAATTTAATTTCATCTTGCTGTTCTTGGATTAAGTACTAATCTGATAGCATGACTGATATTGTGCTTTTAAGAGCCAATGCAGAGTAAGATGCACTCATTCCAATGTCCTATTCCTACCAGAACATCAACTCAAACTCAGATTCAATAATCCCCTACTCTTTTTTTTTGTTGGGGGGGGGGTTGAAGGTGCAATTGGTTTATTAGATCTGTGAATTCTTTATTTTCCTTTAGAATACCCCAGGTTCTGATTGTATTTATAGGTGCTAATTTATAGATCACGTATGTGTCTAGAAGCAAATGGGATGCATGTTCATGGTTCTCTGCTGCTGTGCATGTGCTATTTCACTAGATTTTTATTTTTGTGGGTTTCATGATATTTTTCTTTTTAATGGGCGTCATAAAGGATTTCTAAGAAATACATGTTCATGACTCATTGTTACATTTTTTAATTTCAGGTAATGATGAAAGACCAGTTTGCTAACTATGTTGTACAGAAAGTGCTGGAGACTTGTGATGACCAGCAACTTGAACTGATTCTTAATCGAATAAAGGTTCATCTGAATGCGCTGAAGAAATATACCTATGGGAAGCATATAGTTGCCCGTGTGGAGAAACTTGTTGCTGCTGGAGGTATATTGATTATTTCATTCATTCTGATTATAATTGACCGATTTATTTGCATCCTGGTATTGTGCGAGGAAAATTATCTTTTGTCCAACTGAATTCTGTCCATCACCCCTCCTAAAACTGAATTTGTCAAGTGATTAACCGAAGGGTACCTGTATTTGGTGGGAGTTGAAGATGCAATACAAAAGTGCACAAGCAAATTAGGGATGGCACATGATATTAACTCTTTGTTGGTATGGGAATTTATGGCCAGAAAAATGTTGGAAGCGCATATTGTGTGACTAAAATTACTTAACCCCCAATGTCACTTTTTGTGGAAATAAACCTATATAAACTGTTTCGAGAAATCTCTTGAACATTACTTATTTGGCTGTTCATGATGGCATAGCACATTCCAGATCCTGTATATATGTTATTCTTGATATATATGCCTGCTCTGGACCATATTCATTGCTCTGTTTATTGTTCTTCTGCAGTCTGTTTGAAATGAGAACATTATATGACTGCCACTGAAGTAATCATACTTCAAAGCTTCATAGAGAATTTCTCTGATGAGGTGTTTGATCTTTTTGCAGAGAGGAGGATAGGCATCCTTTCTTCATGTTCTGCTGCTTAGATGGCATAGGAAGGAAATTGTACAGCTAACAGAGGCTAATATGAGAGCTGCCTTCTTCAATTTTCTTGTCTGGCTTTGGTTCTATCCGTTATTTTGATGGATGGAGCTTTCTAAAAATAAACTTGTTGGTTGTACTTAAAAAACTTGTACATTTTTAGTTTGAATATATACCTAGAATTGGTTAGGTGAGGCTTTGATGGTGAACGAACCTGATGCCCGTGCAGAAATCATAAAATTACTGTATTAAGTTATGTAAGGGTGTAAAGAGGAGGAACGTGTAGTGCAGCGGAGGTCGTGACTGTACAAATCGTGCCATGTGCAGAGCCTGTGGTGTAGTAGGAGGCAAGAAGTTTTCTGATGTATGGATTTTCGTTAAAAGAATCTTTTTAATCTTCTTATTACTTCTTGAACTTTCAAATATTTCATCATTTCTTGGATAGATTAGGAATGCTTTTTAACTGTTATTAGAGTTCTCTCATAAACGATTGATCCGATTACATGATTGGTTTTGTCAACTCTTCAGATCATGGAACGGCTTTTAGAGTTAGTTTTCAGGTACACAATCTGATACACGTACATTTTATCGTGACGATGGCTTCGATATGCGGAGCTGTTTAGTGTTTTGTCACAAAGATATAGCTCTGGAGTACGCAGAAAAGAGTTGTTTCATGTGTTGAGACTCCAAAAAATTGAAGGGAAAAATGGAGGATACGGTGAGGTTTTTTCTCAGTTATCCACCGAGAGAATTGGCGCAGACCTCACAAATGTAGAATTTGATTTATAATCTTAGCCGCATCACGGAAAATCAAGTTCAGTTGCAGCAGGTAGGCGCAGAGGGAACCATGGACCAATGGCTCAGTCGCTACCAGGGAGGGATTTAAGTCCTTTCTTGAGTTGTAAGTAAGGGCTTGAACCTCACCTGCAGCGAAAAAAAAATTTAAAGATTGTGTCATAGCACTCCCTTTCTCCTAGATTAGGATAAAGTAGATTATACAAATGTATCGTTGCTGACAAAAAAAAAAAGTAGGCGCAGGGGACGTGTCCGGTCAATAAGAATTTCAGTATGCCCTGTAAGTTGATTTATATTCATTAAATTTATTTTTTTCTGCAGCACTTTCGTGATTTGATCAAGTGAGATTAAAATGGTGCCCCCACTCTCCTAAACGTTCAGGAAATAGTTATGTAGCCTCAAATTTACGTCCTGGTAATTACATATATCTGGCGACAATTATGCAGTGAGATTGGGGCATAAGAAGATCTCTATGTCAGGAAATTTCAACAATCTAAGAAGATCAGGGACGTACAAAGCAGTAACAAGTAGTAGTAAACTTCCAAAAACAACAAAACATCAGCCCAGCAGAATTAAGGTCAAAGTAGCAGTGGCCCTTAGCGCAATGTTTTGTGAGGAGGGCAAAAGGTTATGACATACCGTGGCGCTCTGCATCTCTTAAGCCCAGCTGATTCATCTTGTGCATAGCTATATGCCCTGGGGCAGATGGCCTTGAACAGATTGGAGAAAACTGTTGGTTTACAACTTCCCCGGCTACCATATTCCCCGGTACAGCAATATCTAGGTGCCTTTGTGGCCAGACAGGCGCTCTTGCATCCCACCACTTTCCCTCGTCTTCTCACCTCCAAGGCCGCAGGACAGCACACATTCACATTTGCCTCACAGGCCGCCACTCCACAGCCAACGCCGCCACCAACCGGAATCATCGAGACGGGGAGGTTGAAACCATCAACCAAACTCACATCATAGTAGTGCAACTGATTCTGTGCAGTTCCTAGCGTCATTTCTACTACTGTTGCTGGGGGCAGCCCCCCGGTGCCCATGCACTCAAGGAGGCCCGTGCAGTCTCCCGTTTGGCATGAACCTTTACCGTGTTCATCAAAACAGCAGCCTTGCCTGCCCCATATTCTGCCGGACCACTTCTCGGGCACTTCTATCACTATCTGTTCGCCGGTAGACAGATGGAATCCGCCATCGTTCGGGGTCTGATGGCCTGCAGTGCCAAGAATCCCAGGCCACACGCTCTCTTTGCAGTTGTTCACTATTATAAGTTGAATTCCATCTACAACCAAACAAGAGTAAACATGTCAGTGAATTTTTGAATTGGTACAATCTTCGCAGATTAAATCACATGCATTCACTCTCAGGCAGAGAAGGAATTTAGTACTTGAATGGGAGAGTGATGCTAAGAAGCAGAAAATGCTTAAAAAATATAAATTCATTTGCATGTGCTTCAGATTCTGATGGAAAGAAGAGACAGTGATGGACGACGATCCTTTACGGTACTAGGGGAGAAAGATTTGGCCTATAACTTCCTGGAACCGAATGTGTAAAAAGAACAGAGAGAGTGGTTAAGAAGGGGAGGGAAGGCCCTGTAAATTAATACAGTTTCTTTCTGTTCCCACTTTTTCTGGACTTTGGATTTTGGATGGTGGACGCAGCACAACCGTTTAATTAGGCATTATTCTGAAGGCTACTTTTCTATTTCTTTTGTCTCAAAATTATTGCATGATGATGATTCCATACGTTTTAGCCTCAACCTTCTGTATAATCCACTGTAAGTGCAAACTTTCAACGTACTTGGTCCGAAAGTTACTGTTCTTTTTACCCCTTTTAGCTAGCTAGCTATTCGTGGAAAAGTTCATGCGCGCCTTGTTTGGATTGCTGTTTTTCGTAAAAAAAATTACGTCATTTTTTGTGATCACATTTTCCTATTACCTTTTTTCCTCACATACATCAAATCATTACAGTAATTTTTTCATGAAAAATCATGGAAAATGCAATCCAAATACAACCTTAGTTTTCGTATGAAATTCATGAGTGGAATAATTTTCATTCATCTCTAAAGAAATGACCAAATTCATTTTCAGAAATAAAAAAAAATAATTTGAATGAAATTTGTCAATAAGAGAAGTACATAATTAATAATTTTAGAGACCAGATTGAATGTCATTCTTCACAACATTCAGGGTAACTTCAGACTTTGTTGAGCAAACAGCCCATAAATCTGCCCTATAACTTCATTTCTTATTCTTTTGTGTAAAGCATATTATTTCTTATTCTTAGTTAGTATAGTATATCTTGGTCGTCCTAGAATGTTTGAATCGAGAATTTGTAAGCTCTTTCTTGAAATCAAGACTGAGTCTCAGATGAAATTTAGGATTTTGTGAGCACACATTTCCTCAAGAATTGCTTGATATCATTTGCTATCCCAAGTGAGTAAATAAAACTACGATTAAACTGTGAACCATGCAGATTACGAGAATTAATAAGCTTCCAGTAAAACGAACAAAGTTAGCTTCATCCGTATCTTGGGAAGTCGACACCTTTGAGAAAACTGCAGTGAAGCGTACAGCGGCGGACATAGTTGAGGGAATCTTTGAACTTGGATCGTTCGGAACACGACAAAGGAGGTTAAACCTACGAGCGATACAGGTGCTTGGTGGATCTTAAAGGTTAAGTAATGTCCTTTTTACTAGCATTACCCATAACTTTCATCAAATCAGTATCAATGGATAAGGATCCGAGAAGGAATAATACAAAATAGCTTTGGGCTGAAGGCTTAGCTAAAAGGCACCATGATAAAATGCTATGCCTAAACAAAAGAATCATTTGGATACTGCTTTTGGATATCAAAGGATGAGCTGTTCTCAAATGCCTTCATGTTTTTAAATGAGAAAGTACTTATAATAGTATTCAAGATCAATAATGGATTGTACCGTCCGATATTCAACGAATCAATCATTTTTCACACTTTTGTCATCCCTAATCAATACTACTTTATAGCTAATGGGATTTTTCTCCCTTCTCCTTTATAGCTGTGGCCATAGTTCGCTGTGAAGGAAAGTAGGAACTTGGGGCTAGTTTCGATGTTTCATGATCAAGATCTGTACTTTAGAAATAGCTTGAGAAAAACAGTTGTGATCTTGAGAGAAGTAGTACTCGTAACACTTTCAGTTTAACAGGGGATCAAGCAAAATGCCAATAGTTGAAGATTGATACCTGACCTGAGGCAGGGGGATCTTCTTAGTTGCACCTAAGATGCTTAATTTCATGCAACAAGATGGCACGATGTAATTTGTCATGGATGCATAAACATGGCTCTTAATCTCGTATCTCCCAGAGGGTTTTTGTGCTAAAAAGGATGAAACAAGTTTAAAACAGAAAAAAAGTAACCAACATGAGTTTGTATGGTGGCCAAGAGATTATGAGGATTACATTAGTTTCCAGCATAAAACATGTCATGGAAACAGCACAAGTGCATACTCTTTTGTATGCTCATTTGCATACAACTAAGTTACAGACTAGTAGCAATTTCTCCGGAAGCCAAGAAATTAGAGTTACACACCAGAATTTCCGGGATACTTGCCTAAATTTCAAGGCGATGGTACACGATAATGTATACTATTATTAAGAGGAAGTCCTGCAAAATTTCCGGTTCGGAGAATAATAATAGTAGTGGTAACTTTGCCTAAAAATTTGAGCGCAAAAGGGCAATGGGTTAAACAGAAGAATCGCCGGTTCAGTAGTCGAAGTCTGCGGTCTGCGGCCGGATCCAGCTGGCGTCATCAGCGTTTCCGGCTCCTCGGCAGTGGGCAACCAAGTCCTCCGGTCTACACTCCACAGACCGGCCCCACCCAACAATGGCCTTGACCGGTTCTGCACCCATCCAACGGGCCAACGCCCGCATAAAACAAAAAACCCCGACTCCTCATTAAATCCCCTCACGGGCCTGACCGCTGCCCCCAAACCGGTCCATCCGGTCATCCAATCCAATCGACTCTTCACCCACCTATATATTCCTTGTTTCCCAACTCAAACCCTTCCCACCCTTCCCCGACTCGGTCTTTGTCACGAGAAGGATTAATTGTACTACTACTAAATACGAAATCCGACCGAACCCAAGTAAGTTATGTAATCCCTTTTCCTCTTCTTCATAAAAAATTTGATTATATATTATTTGTACCTTAGCAGAATTAATATTGTTGTACCTTTGGGGATGTTCTTGAAAAGGGGAGCATGTACATTTGTGGAGTGATAGATATTTAATGAAGTACAAAGGGTCCTAGTGATTGTTGTGTTATTATGTTTTTGGATGAAAATTAAAACATGGCTTCAGATATGGAACTGGTACCTGTGACATCACAAAAACATGATCCTGCATGGAAGCACTGTCAAATGTATAAGAATGGTGAAAGGGTTCAGCTCAAGTGTGTGTATTGTGGGAAGATTTTTAAGGGTGGTGGAATCCATAGGATTAAGGAACATCTAGCTGGGCAAAAGGGTAATGCCTCTAGTTGTTTGAGAGTTCTGCCTGATGTTCGCCTTCTAATGCAAGAGAGCTTGAATGGGGTTGTTATGAAAAAGAGGAAAAAGCAAAAACTTGCTGAAGAAATAACCAATTATAATGTGGATAATGCTAGTGAAGTTGATGCTTTGACTATTAATAATTGCGGTCTAAACACTGAAGTTAACTTGCTTCCTGTCCCAGATACGCTTGAACAGGACTCGAATTTTTTTGTGGGTAGGGAGGAAGGAGGAGGAGGAAATAAAGCAAGTGGTAGGAAGAAGAAGGGGAGAGTTAGAAAACCATCTAGTTCTGTCAATCCTAATGCAATTGTTGCTTGTAGTAATGCAGCTATAGCTACGAAAAAGGTGAATAATCATGTCCATATGGCAATAGGGCGGTTTTTGTTTGACGTAGGGGTACCTTTAGATGCTGTGAATTCAGTTTATTTCCAACCCATGATTGAGGCGATTGCTTCTCAAAGTGATGGCGTTGTTGGACCATCTTACCATGATCTTCGGAGCTGGATCTTGAAGAATGCAGTTCAAGAAGTTAGAAATGATATTGACCAATACACAGGTTCTTGGGGAAAGACAGGATGTTCTGTATTGGTAGATGAATGGGTTTCAGAAAAAGGTAAAACTTTTGTAAGTTTCTTGGTAAATAGCTCCGAAGGGACAATGTTTTTCAGGTCTGCAGATATAACCAACTTGATAAACTCTGAGGATTCTCTGTTTGAATTGCTTAAGGAGGTGGTAGAAGAAGTTGGTGTGAGAAATGTGATGCAAGTAATTACTAATAGTGACGAGCGATATCTTGCTGCTGCTAGAAGACTGACTGATTCTTATCCCTCTGTATTCTGGACTCCTTGTGCTGCTCACTGCATAAGTTTGATGCTTGAGGACATCAGCAGGCTTGAGTGGGTAAAATCAGTACTTGACCAAGCCAGAACAATATCAAGATTCATGTATAATCATAATGTTGTTCTGAACATGATGAGACGGTACACTTTTGGAGTTGATTTAGTTGATCTGGGAATCACTCGCTCTGCAACACATTTTACGACGTTGAAGCGAATGGTTAACATAAGACACAATTTGCAATCCATGGTCGCTTCAGAGGAGTGGATGGAGAGCCCATACTCAAAGAAACCAGAGGCATTTGCTGTGCTAGATTATATTGGTAATCAATCATTTTGGTCCACTTGTGCCTTACTTACTCGATTAGTTGATCCACTTTTGAGACTTCTGAGGATAGTTGGAAGCGACAAGAGGCCTGCCATGGGATATGTTTATGCTGGAGTATATCGAGCCAAAGAAACAATTAAGAAAGAACTCACTGATAAGAAGGAATATTCCACGTATTGGGATATTATAGATCATAGATGGGAACAACTTCAGCGTCATCCTCTTCATGCTGCTGGTTTCTACCTAAATCCTAACTTCTTTTACAGTACCGAAGGTGATGTACATCTTCATATCCGTTCACTGGTATATGACTGCATTGAGAAGTTGGTTCCAGACCCAAAATTTCAAGATAAAGTTGTGAAAGAGATAGGTTCTTATCACAATGGTGCTGGAGATTTTGGACGAAAGATGGCTGTTAGAGCTAGAGATACTTTACTTCCAGGTCCGTCTTTATTAAGATCAAATAGCAGCTTCCGTGTCCTGTTATGCTATGTCTTCTGCTGCTGCTACTTCTTAGTTATTTATTTTTTTTTCCTTTTCCAATGTCAGGCTTGTAGTGAATCCTTGATTCTCACATGTCAATCCATCCATTCAATTTTCTGTATTGTTATACTTGATCGTTTTTTGTTTGGGTGTTCAGATTCCCTACTCCCTGTCATCAATTGCTATTTTCGTCTTGTGTCAAAGTCATATGACTGTATTTACCTCAATTCATCTTTGTTCCAGGACACTTTAATATTTAACGTGTGGATACGGTAGTCACAAAGTTTGACAAGGATGGAATATAGTCATATGACTTGGTAGTTAGTATTCAAACATTATTGACTCTAATGGGAAATTATGTTAGTTTTATTTCTATCTTGTGTAGCTTCATTTTCTGGGGCAGGTGGAGAGGTGGATGAGACTTAAAGGATTTTTGTGTCGTTAATGTCCCTCTTAGTTGTTTGTCTGATATATCTTGTTGGTGTGTATTTTCATCCATGCACTGTACAGAAATGCTAGTTAACTCATGATATCCTTGTATAAAAACGTGCTTTTATTTGGTTTTCATGTCCACAATCAGTTGATCTTTCATTCATTCTTTTTTTTTTTTTGGTTCACTTTTTGACTTTTGAATTTGATGGTTGTAGCTGAGTGGTGGTCAACTTATGGTGGGGGTTGCCCAAATCTGGCACGTTTAGCCATCCGCATTCTGAGTCAAACTTGCAGTTTGATCTACTTCAAGCGAAATGAAATCCCTTATGAGCAGATGCATGATACCAGAAACTGCTTAGAGCGACAGAGGCTTAATGACCTTGTCTTCGTCCAAAAGAACTTGTGGTTGAAGCAAATGTAAGTAGAAGAATGAACTTATTCTCTATTAATTGGTATTGAAGGAACTAAAGAATGAGTTAGACAAACTGAATGGAGCAATGGCCTTTCATTGATTATTTTAGGGTTCAAAGGAACAAAGAACAGGATTCAGTTGACCCAATATCGTATGAGCATATTTCCATTCTTGAGGACTGGGTGACGGGGAAACCGTTATGCTCAGAAGACTTGGAAAGCTCAGATTGGATGATAGTTGATCCACCTTTAGGCAACACAATGCTTTTAGGAACACCAATTGATGATTATGAAGCCCTGGGTACAGGTAATTGATGGCTACCGTACCAATACTAGCTAGAAACTTGTCTCTTGGACATTTCTGACATGATTTGCTGGCACGCAGGCTTCGATGATTATGAAATTTTTGAGGGGGTTAAAGACAGTGAAGAAGAAAATGGAGGATAACACTGCAGGGTATTAGTATGCGAAGGTCTTCTCACTTTTTGCATGATGGAAAAAGAATGAACGCAAGTGGTGCCAACTAATATACTTTTGACCAAATAAAGGTGTGGAAAAATTGGATTTGATGCACCTAAGGAAGTGGAGCATCATCTCTTCCCCTCCCCCTAAAGCCGCCCATTCCTCGACATATAATTGTTTTTGAGTAGAAAGCTTCCTAAAGCCTGTATCCTCTGGGGATGATGCTCGTCGAAAATAGAGGTTGATATCATGCTTATGGTGGCTTTAAATATTTTCTTAATGAGTATCATTTTATGTGATTTCATGATTTTTTCCGAGCGCACTTTTGCTCTGTGCAGGAGTGTTGAGTCAGGATGTGGTTGGACTTTCACTAAAAGTGTAAATTGGCTTAATGCCTCTGTACTTTGAAGCAGCAAGATAGTAATCCTCTTTCCTGTTTAAGACTCTCTTCATTGGCCTTGGGATAAATTGGATTGCGTTGAATCGTGATGGAGCCAGTAAGCCAACTTTTCTGCAGGAACACAATGGAAATTTTCTTCTGGGGCTTGCCATGCATCTTGGTCCTTAATCTGATATGATTGATGGCTGCTGATTTACGAGCCTTGCCGGCGGCGCTCATGTTAGCAGCAAAACACAAATTCACGGACTTGATCATTGGATCTTGATTCTCCAGTAAATGTGAATAATCTTGGCAGGCCTCCGTCGGCAAGTCTTGCAGCAACGCTGACGGGTTCTCGCGAGCATCATGATTTGGACCTCTCGCTCAGTATGCATGCATGCCAATAAAACGCGATATTGCAGCAAATATTCTCTCCAGGCTCTACGCATGCAGCTTAGTAGAGCTTTCTTTTCATGAAGTTTGTGTAGTTCTTGATCAGCTACCTATTTGTCGTCTGCTCTCTTTATGCGACGGTAAAATCAAACTTCAAAATCGATTTCTGATGGCGTGCAAATTAGTTTTGCTCAAGTAATGAAGTTTATTATCTTTAGGAAAAAAGATCCTCTTTTTAGTTAAAGCTTTGTGAGACATAATAAATTTCCCAGGTTGCTTGTACAATAATGTAATTATCTTTGCAGCCTTTGGTGCTGGTTCCTCTTCTCCTTTTACGGCTGGAACTGCAAAGTCAGAATCAAAGTAGAGTATGTAATGCGTCCGTCACTCGAATCAAATATCTTGACGAAAAGCTGATTCAGTAATTGATCGCTTGGTTTTCATGACACCACCATCCACTGTATGAAGATCGTAATGATTGACAGTCCACATTAGAAATCCGTACTCCATTCTTCTGAAGGCTTAGACTAATGGTACCGTTGGCCTGAAAAAAGCATGCAAAACATTTGGAACTTTCATATCAACATAAATTGTCAGCAACACACACAAATCTACAATGATCTGAGATGGAATGTCCATAAGGTCATGCATTCCTCTAATAATTTCATACCTAAAACTAGATGCTACTGCTAATTAGTGGCCCTTGGTAAACAGAAACCTCTAAGCAATGAAAACAAGAAGAAATCTCAAAGCAGCTAAGATGAGAATCGGTCTTCCCATCCTGGAATCACCGCTTCCCTTTCCAGCCAGTAACGGAGAGCGGTGATATTGAACCAGCTTCAAGATCATCCTTGTCGGCGTAGTCAGCCGACGACCATGCGCTTACCTTGTCAAATGAGGATGTTGGATACGAATGCACAAAGTCCTCAAACTCGCCACCATGACCACCACCTTTCTTCGCATTATACTCATTAGGTGCCGCAGCAAAATCCGGCAGTACCACCTCACCTTCCAAGTGTCTCACCACTTGCCTCAAGCTAGGCCTCCTTTCTGAGGAATTACTGGAACACATTAATCCAAGTTTAAGCACCACCACTGCCTCTACCTCATCATAAAGACCTCCTAACCTGGGGTCGACTGCCTCGAGCATCGCACCTTTCTTCCACCTATCCCACACCCAATCCACCAAAACCAACTCCTCAGGCAATGCTTTTGGCTCTATTGGCCTTCTTCCGCATACAACTTCCAATAAGAATGCACCAAAGGCAAACACATCAGAGCTTGTGGTAGGCTTACCAGTCTTCGTAAGCTCAGGGGCTAAATAACCCAATGTTCCCACAACTCTTGTTGTGCTTGGATTTGAACCATGCTCATACAACTTAGCAAGTCCAAAGTCCCCAAGCCTGCCATTCATCTCAGAGTCCAACAAAACATTTCCTGCCTTGATGTCTCTATGAATCACAGTTTGTTCCCATCCTTCATGTAGATAGAGGAGCCCAGAAGCGACACCTTTGATGATCTTGAACCTCTGTTCCCATGTTAAAATCATCTCAGGTTCATCAAAGAGGTACTTATCCAAGCTCCCATTGGGCATGAAGTCATATACAAGTAACAAATCACCTCTCCTCCGACACCACCCCAGTAACTGAACCAAGTTTCTGTGCCTAAGTCGGCCAATGCTGGCAATCTCTGATATGAATTCACGCAAACCCTGCTTCGATTCATGGTTTATTCTCTTAACTGCAACTTGGATATTGGAGTTAGGCAAAGTTCCTTTATAAACCCGGCCAAATCCGCCAAACCCCAATAGCTCTTTGTCTCTGAAACCTCTGGTTGCTTGTTTGAGCTCTTTATAGGGGAATCGGTGTGGGCCTACCGAATGTTCCCAGTCCTCAATCACATCCATATTTTTGATCCTCCTGACTATGTACAGAGACAACAGAACAGCAAATCCCATGAATGCAACAGCTGATATAGATGTCCCTAAAATCAATTTCACATGGCTCTTTTGGGGTAAAGGAAGTTTAGGAAGCGAAGGTAGATCTAAGGACTGAGCTTGCCCATTGATCTTGAAACTCCAACCAAAGACACAGTGAGAGGCAGCAAGCAAACCAGTTGAAGCAGAAAAGCCTACATACATGTAATCCTCAAAAATTGGGGATAAATCCACATCAAGCGAGAGAATGGAGCTATTGGGTTTGGATGAGGAAAGTGACAGAGTAACATTGAGCTGATTTTTGCTGGAATCATAATCAATCCAGGCTTGAATTATACTCCCAGACTTGAGATTCAGGTCTAATATTGTTGAATTGCCATCAGCGAAATAGCCAGCTGGTACTGAGGCATTTGAGATCACACTATTGATATCTATGCCAACATGGTTATCATTTATGTCTTTAAATTCTAAATCTTGAACTGTATCGAACTCAACAGCAAGGAAATGATTGGAAGAGTTGCCATTATCATTTGAATTCACCAAGCCCAAATACTGACGGGAAAAAGCCCCTTTGAACTCTTTGGTCGGCGAGATGGCAAAGGCCATTCCATGGCCACCAAGATTTACAGAATTAAACTGGGGAACAATTGAAAACGCAAAAGCGGTTGAAAAGGAGAAAACTTTACCAGTTGTAGAGTTCTTGAACAAAATAGCATTTGATTGGAAGGCATGGCCAAGTAATTTTTCTGTGTCATTTGTGAGCTTGACTATACCACTATCTTCAATCTCAGCAGCACCATTGAGAGTTACATTGGTGCCCGCGTCCTTAAAACCAGCATGCAAGAACTCAACAGACTGAGAAAGAAGTAAGCTTGGAAGAAAAATCAGGACCAAGAAAGAAAGAAATAATTTTTTTGCCATCACACAACATGTACTAGGCTAAGATTCGAGTTGGTTTCTGGATCAACTTGGGACTCAGTTATCAATAATATTCCCAGGTAGGTGATTTGTGGGGATTATTGGGATTATGTGCTACATGGCTGTAATTTATTACTTGTTCTTTTTTTTTTTGGGGGGGCGTTTGGTGCAAAGCAGAGAGGAAGAAGAGAAGAAACAGGAGGTGGAGAATGGGGTGGCATTGTGTTGTGGACTGGAGTTGTACGAAAAGTGGAAAAATAGAGGGTCCCATCTTTGTTTGTTGGCTGTAATTTTCACACGCCACATTTAAGGTTGGGTTGAAATCGAGTTGAGCTACGCATCATCTTACCACCCAAAATATTGGACCCTTGGTCCAACGGGTAGAGAACTGAGAAAGTGTTCCGCCCTTGTCCATCTTCTTGTTCTCAAGAAGATAGTCACTGTTGCCGACCAAAAATGGAATATGCATCTTACTACCCTTTCCTTTCAAAAAAATTAGTGCATTATACTTCTTGTTTTTAAAAAATTCAGAGAATGCAATGCAATAGTGCGGTTAACAGGGGAAAAATAAAAGCATCTCACTGCCCCATCCTTTCAAAATTTTTGTGGCATTTCAGGATTCTAACATTTTAAGAGTAACAACTTAATTATGATTTTAGTATTTTTACTTTGACGTCTTGCTTTCTAAAATTTAAGTGTTAAATTTAAATCCAAAACGAGTAGAGCTGTTAAGTCAATCGAGTAGCTCGAAAGCTCGTTAGAGTTCGGCTCGTTAAGGCTCAAGCTCGACTCGTTAATTTTGGTTAACGAGTCGAGCTCGAACTCGAAACATGCTCGTTTAGTTAACGAACCGAGCTTACTCGGCTCGTTTGATACTCGAGTAGCTCGTTAAAACTCGTTAATGAAGGGCATATTTGTCATTTTAGAAATCAAAATTATAAAAATTAAAAATTATAGGTTTTTATTAAGGTTAATTTGCACGAGCTCGTGAAACTCGACTGGTTTGTTAGCTCGAACTCGTGAAACTCGACTCGTTTGTGATAAACGAGTCAAGTTCGAGCTCGAGCTCGTGAAACTCGACTGGTTTGTTAGCTCAAGCTCGTGAAACTCGACTCGTTTATGATAAACGAGTCAAGTTCGAGCTCGAGCTCGAATTCGAGTCACATGTACATTTAACGAGTCGAGTTCGAACACATTTTAAAGCTCGTTTTCCTAACGAGCTCGAGTCGAGCTCAGCTCGAATTAAACTCGAGTCGAGCTCGACAGCCAAATACTCGGCTCGATTAACAGCTCTAAAAACGAGACAAAATAAAGATAAAAATGATATCGAAAAAAGAGATTAAAAATAATTTTATTTTTTTATAAAATAATGCAATAAACATTCCGAGACATCTCAAAATGGAAGTGCATGATATTTTTAACGAGACCAACCAAGACCAGCCTACGTACCTTTTTAAGAAGAAGATTAGATTGGAGTTGAAATGAGTTAGTGACGGCCCTGCCCAAGTCAGACCGACACAGCTTCCTTCAATTCAACACATGGAGTGTCCTGGAGTGCAAGGACATGGTTTCATGAAAGAGGGGGCAGCTGATTTTGATCAATAGATGCTTGACTGTTTCTGCTACATTCTATCACACCCAACCCTCCTTTCAAAATTTGTGGACCTTCTCGGGGTTGGCTGCTGCTCCCCTGAAATAAGTTGTTACTATTACAATTTCGAGAGTTCCGGTGCAAGGACTATTGTTCCAGTCGTGATATGGCTGACTCCTTAAAGACTTCAAATAACGATCAACTATAAAAGTCGTCTTAATCAAAATTTTTTGTCCTCTATAATAGGGAGATTGGTGGATTGTTTTAACATTTAATTTGTTAAATAACCGGAAGTCGGCTCTCCATTTTTTGACCGCTCGATTTGAGGGTTCATTTATTTTCTTCCTTGAAAGCAAAAAAGCGCTTGCATCGTAAACACATTTTTCAATTTACTTTTTATATTTTCAATCACTTTTTTATCTCGCATACATCACATCACAAAAAAGTACTACAGTAATTATTCTAAATAATAAAATATTTCAAATAATACACTGTCCAAACAAACCTGACGTTTTTTCTCCTGGGTTTTTCATGTTCAACCAAAATAGAAAAGCTTGGAGTAATTTTGCGTGACTTGAGTCATCAAGTCGTCATGTGGAGGGTTCCTTAGACAGCCAAACTCTGGCGTTGAAATAAAAGTGCAGAGCACATAAAATTTCTTCGTTTTGCTTTCAAAAGAATATGATTACCAATCGCTATTGGGGTTAGATAAACAAACTATCAGCTTTTCCTTGACTTTCTAGTCGGAAAATAAGCTTTGTTATTGTGTATTATAACTATACTTTAGCAAGTTGTTTGTCCTCTGTTCTTTTCAACTACTCAGTCTCGAATTGCATAAAATACTATATATAAGCTTTGTTTGGAAATTGCAATGTTTTTCGTGAACACATTTTTCAATCACTTTTTTATTTCACACATATCAAATCGTTCTAATAATTTTTCTACAAAAAAAAAAAATACAA